TATGTAATATCAAACCTTCTACATGGTGATGGATCCTATACACTTTCCTCACAGATAAGATTTGTGGTAACAGATATGTTATTCTGCTAAAGGATGCTGAGAATACTATGAACAGAGCATGTGAACAATAAGGAAATTTTAAGGAAAATGGAAACAAAAAAACACATACTTAGAAAATTTGGGGGCGGTACAAAAAAGAAAGAGAGTTTAGAGAATTTGACACACTGAATGCAAGGGAAATAGAGGGAAACAGTAAGTCAACTACCTAACTAGCTTGTGTAAATAGATAGCAGAATAGGAACTTGGAGGGATAGCAAGGTGACAAACATTAATTAGAGCTATAATGGACAGGAAGTTATGAAGAGCCATGATCACCCAAATCCTGAACATTGATCAAGAGATGCATATACTTATTAAATGATTGAAATTGTGGAATTATGTGTTTTTTTTATCAATATTATATGAAATGAATAATATATAAAAGTAATGAAGTGTACCACTGGGAAGTGTGATTATTATTTCATTTGCAATTATTCTCCCTGTTAACCTAAAATAGGTAAGAGGTTGTAGATCAGTAGGATAAATAATATATATATATGGTTAACTCTCAAAATATTTAACTGTGGAAATAAAGAAATGAAGATCAGAAATCAATTTGAATAAAATAGAAAAAACAATAATTTATTATAATACACAATTAAATAAAATGTATTCTTGTAGAAAGTTTTAAAGGAAACAGACTATTATTGGGTAAGTATGAGCAAACAGTTAACACCCAAACTGGGGTCAAAACACTATGAAAGTGTAAAAATAGGTTTTAATACCAACAATACAATTTTTTTTTAAATATTACCAGCAATACATTTTTGAAAAAACAAAAATTACTTGCAATAAAAATCTTGTCAGCATTAAATAACCTATTGAGGTTGATATACAATAAAACAAAGCAAACTAAACCTAATATCTCATAAGGAAAATAAAGATTTTTTTTAAGTTGAATGTCATGCAATCAGTTTAAAAGTTACAAAATCTGTAATAGACAAATGATATCTGTATTTAATTACACATGAACTAAGGAAATTTAGCAGGAAAATAAATCTAAAAACAAAAATGTTTTTACCTTGATTCTTTCTTTCATTCATTCTTAATTTCTGGGAATAAAATAAATTCCAGAAATAAATTTTCCACATGCCAAAACCAGTAAAAAAATTATTCTTAATTCTCCCCTGAAAGAATTCACTTATTTTTAGAATTTGGATCATAATGGTAAAATTATATTTAAAATCCTATTACAAGAATATCTTGAATACTATGATACATTTTTCAACCTATTTCAAAAAATTATTACTGAAGTCTGAATAACATATCCTCACTATTTATGTCTGTGAAAAATGGTTCATGATTGTCTAGTGGTTAGGACATCCATATAGTTAAGTAAGCTATATATTTTATCTGTGCCTGGAGCACTGGCAGTTTTATGACAACCAATAATCAAATCCAAATGTAAGATCTTCAAAGCAATCAACCAATGTTCAGAAATAAGGAAAAGGAAATGAATTATGTAAATAAATGAATAAAAACTTTCAGGATCAAGTGCCACTCAGTCAGAAGATATGAAATTCCGATTGTGGGGTTATAGAGTCAGATCACATTCTAGATAGGAGCCAATCACAAGACATAGGTAGAGATGGAAAGAGGGAAAGCAAGAGTGACAGCTTGCAGTGAGAGATGGGCAGTCAGAAGTCTTATTGGTGAAATGGAAGATCTGGTCCATTAGTCCATCATGAAAGAACACAGAAGTAACTGCAAGGAGTTCCCACAGTAGTTAAAGAACCTGATATATTGTAAACAGGATACATGTTTTCTTTTCTTGCCATGGTGTGATTTCATTTCTCACACCTTTGTATGATGTACTTTCCCATTTTTTGTTTGAATCAATGCAAACATAAATTGAACTATGATCACCAGTCAATGGGAAATTACTCAAGGATCTTCTTCATTTTTTTTTAAGCAAATTGCCCCAACCAAGGTAGGAGTGTCACTATCATGCAAGGGGTTACAGAGAGTGAGAGTAAGTCTAAATAAGAGTGTTTGGAAAAAGGATAAAGAGAAGGACAGGTATCAAGGTCAGGGCATCAGAAGATGTCAATTGACATTACATTTGAATATTATAGCTATCAGGGAAGCAAGTGATAGAAAGGGAGTTCCACTGATTGGAGGTGCAAGATAAGAAGCTGATGAAGTAGAAGAGATGGCTACATTTAGTTGTTTCGACAGTGAAAGGTTGGGAACAAGATGCCAACCTAGTAGCACGCCTAAATTCATGCAATTTAGGAACCAGTGAAAGTAGCTCATTGGAGCAGTTGCCATGAAAGTACTTGTAAAAAAGACAGAGGGAAGCCACAGCACATCTGTGAGATAGTGACTGCAGACAAGATGCCAGATTAAGACCAACCATGTTGCATATTTGTCTTTGGATTTTGTTGAGAACCTTGAGATGAACAGCAAGAACACCAGATCATATATGGTAGCAGTATTCCATGCAAGGATGAATAGTTGATTTGTACATTTGAATGGCTGTATCTTTATATATCTACCGTATATCCTTTTTTCATTAAACTGCTTCCTATATGGACAATACTCAATACATTGAGTAGAAAGAATTTTTAGTTTTAAAAACTTAAGCAATAACCTGATCATTATCACAAACTGCATATTAATATTAATTGCATATTAATATTACTTTCATTAATCAAGTAATAAAAAAAAGTCTTTTCTGATCATGTAATATTATTAGATTATGTAATATATAAATATTCACTGAAATAAAAATAAAAAAAATTTGGTTTAATATTTTAACTGTGCTTATGTGTTAAAATTTCTAGGGCACATAATTAGGAAAGAGGGCTTGGAAAATTTTGACATATTGAAGGCAAGATGGAGAGACAGAGGAAAACAGTGTATAACGTACCTGAGGAGCTTCTATTAATGGTTAGCAGAACTGGGATTAGGAGAGATAGCAAAAAACAAAAACTTACTAAGAGCTACAAAAGACAGGAAATCCATGATCACCAATGTCCTGAAGGGACATGTCACATAGAAGAGGATGATGTGTATCAATTCACTTTCAGGAAAGAGTAGGTAAGTGAGATAAGCATCCTGTTTGTTAGTTATTCACAGGTATATTGATGAGTTTAAACTTCTGTCTATATTTATATGATGAGGTATTGTAATTCTTTACACTATTTACATTTGTTCAGACTGTTGTCCTCATCTTTATTGCCATATTCACAACATTTTGGCTATTGTACATTCTGGCCTTCTTCAGGTGGGTTTAGTTGAAATTTCAAACCAAACTCTTTATTTTATCAACAGGGGGGGTAGATTTTTCTAGTTCCACATACCATGCTGGCCCAGTGGATAAAAAGCAATGGTTGAAGTAATCCAAAAAGTGACTTGACCCAAAGAGTTGTGAGTTCAATACCTGACTACAGCAGAGGTGAACAAAAACATAAAAACTTGGACAGTTTTGTTACCAAAGGGAACTAACTGAAAACTGAGATATCCAGAAAGGCATGGTATGTGGAACTAGGACAATGTACCTTCATGGACTAAATAAAGAATTTGCCTCAAAAATTCCAATGTATATCACCTGATGAAGGCTGGAGTGTACAATGACTGAAATATTGTGAATATGACAATAAAGATGAGCACAGCAATCTGAACAATCTAAAAAATTTAAAGAATTTAAACTTATATAAAAATATATTAGAGCTTATATAATAGAAGATAGATTTTTAAAAAAATAGCATCAAAATTAGCAATCAGAAATTTAAAATACTGTTTTAATTCTTACAGAAATATTAATCTTTTGTTGCACATTCATGCAAAAAAAAACAACTTCAGATATGGCAATGCTTATATAGAGATTTGTTAAAGTATAACCCTTCTATTCACAAGTTATTTTTATCGATATTTGGTCTATTTTATGTTTCAAAGAAAGTTTTAGAAAAGTATATCTAAGCTGATTCATTGAGAAAAAAGAGGAAACTTTATTTCAATTGGGAAATGACAGGCCATTTAGATGTGATGATTAAATCAGTATAAATTCAGTGTGGCAATAATGGAAAATAATCGAAAATTCTTTTATTCATTTCTGAAACTTGGATTTATTCTCTGCATTCTTCATCATTATTCTTTTCCTTTCACTTTACTTAAGTACATCAAATGTAAGTTTCATTTGACATAAATTTACAATAAGTAGCTTATGAACTTTTCATTGCAACATGAGAAAATTTAAGTTTATCTACTTGTTTCCAAGAAGGGTGTTAGGAATCTTTTAACAGGACAGAACATTTGAAGGAATATTTAAGTGTTCAAAAAAAGGTTCTGCTAACTTGGAATTACGAATTTCCTGTACTGTTTTGCCATAAAGTCAGTTAAGAAAAAAAATGCAAGTTTGATTTAAAAACCACATCACAAAACCCTTTTTTCTACTGCCAATCCAAAATCACAGTTATCTAAGAATTTCTTTTACAATATAAAAAAGAATCAAAGTGTCTGAGGAATTGAATCTATTCATATTTGAAAGTGCAGATGAATGGTTGTTGCGTATAATAGCTTTCCAAGAGGCATGATGCAAATATAATGATATTCATTACAACAAATTCATAAAAATGAATAAAGAATTTAAGAGCAAAATAACTAAAAAATTAGTGACATAACAATTTATTTAATTTATAAGTTAAAATAAAAGGTTTACAATAGTGAATCCAAATATTTTAAGCATGAAGAAAAGCATCTAAACTACCTGCACATAATAATAATTGTTATGATAGAGTTAAAGACTGAAGTAGTAAATATCAGAGAAGTGTTTTTTAGACTTTGAAGATTTTAGCATTAAGTGGCAGATTGGCAAGTTTATTTGTTCTTGATTAAAAAATGGGGATCGATAAGATTGAAAAACAATGCCAGCAGTCAATATATATAACAAGATTTTTCTAAAGTAAATCTAAGTAAAGGAATGTAATGTAGGGGAAAGAAGAACTGAATGTAGAAAGAAAGGCATGTAATACAGGAAAGAAAAAGAATTGGATATCAGAAGTAATGTATGTGATACAAGGAATGAAATGGATGTAGAAAGAAAGGCATGTAATATAGGAAATGAAAAGAATTGAATGTAGAAAGAAAGGCATGTAATATAGGAAATGAAAAGAATTGAATGTAGAAAGAAAGGCATGTAATATAGGAAATGAAAAGAATTGAATGTAGAAAGAAAGGCATGTAATATAGGAAATGAAAAGAATTGAATGTAGAAAGAAAGGCATGTAATATAGGAAATGAAAAGAATTGAATGTAGAAAGAAAGGCATGTAATACAGGAAAGAAAAAGAATTGGATATCAGAAGTAATGTATGTGATACAAGGAATGAAATGGATGTAGAAAGTAAGGCATGTAATATAGGAAATGAAAAGAATTGAATGTAGAAAGAAAGGCATGTAATATAGGAAATGAAAAGAATTGAATGTAGAAAGAAAAGGCATGTAATATAGGAAATGAAAAGAATTGAATGTAGAAAGAAAGGCATGTAATATAGGAAATGAAAAGAATTGAATGTAGAAAGAAAAGGCATGTAAATAGGAAATGAAAAGAATTGAATGTAGAAAGAAAGGCATGTAATATAGGAAATGAAAAGAATTGAATGTAGAAAATGAAAGGCATGTAATATAGGAAATGAAAAGAATTGAATGTAGAAAGAAAGGCATGTAATACAGGAAAGAAAAAGAATTGATATCAAGAATGTATGAAAAGGAATGAAATGGATGTAAAGGCAAGGCATGTAATATAGGAAATGAAAAGAATTGAATGTAGAAAGAAAGGCATGTAATATAGGAAATGAAAAGAATTGAATGTAGAAAGAAAGGCATGTAATATAGGAAATGAAAAGAATTGAATGTAGAAAGAAAGGCATGTAATATAGGAAATGAAAAGAATTGAATGTAGAAAGAAAGGCATGTAATATAGGAAAGAAGAAAGAATAGCATGTGATACATGAAAAAAGTGAAGGAAAAACAGGAAAGTACATATTTGGATATAAACAAAGAAAAAATTAAATGGAGGAAAACTACGAAAAAAGAAAAATATGTAAAACAAAATGAAAAGTTGACCAAGACCATATTATAAGGAAAAAAAGAGAAAACATTTTAAAAAATGAAAAATCTAAGAATTAAGACCAAAAGTAGAATGAAAATTAAATGAAAAATTAAAAAAACAAAAAAAAACAAAAAAAAGAGAAATGCCAAGAACTGAAAATAAGCCAAAAGAGAATAAAGTTTATTCCTTTACAACTTCTGCAAACCTAAGAACTGGAAAAAAATAAAGATATGAAATATTACAATTAAAATAATGATAAGGAAGAAAAGTAAATTCCTTCTTGTTTTTCAATTGGTTATTTAATAAATGAAAGATGATCAGATGAATTGGAAATCAATATACTTGGCTTTCCAAACTATAAAATTCATGTACAAAATGAATCAGCATTGTTTTGACTTTTTGTTTATTAAAATATATAGAAAATATGATAAATTAACATTCTAAATCTATCTAAATGTTTCATTATATAAAATGAGTTTATTCTGTTTCTGTAATATCAGTCTGACAAAGGCAAAGTAAAGGAGATCATTGTTTAGCAGGCTATTGTACACTTTTAACTTAAATACAGATCAAGACAGGGTGTAAATTGTTGTAAATATAACTAAATGAAGACAATTTATTTGTAATCCTGAGAAACAGGAAAATTTACCCTTTTCAGTTATGATTTTTGACACAGTTTTTTTTTATTACTATTCAACACCAAACAAGAAATTCTTCCATAATATTCTTTCTCACAGTCTTTAATAATATACAATGACACAAATGTACTTCATGATTTCTTATTAATTTAAATCCATATGGGAAATTTTAGTGAATGTTTATCATTATTAGTTGTTGATGTAATGAACTGTCTTTCACCAAAAGTTTATCAAAATCAGTTCAGTCATTTTGAAATGCTAGCGTTAAGCATGGGAACTGTACTCAATTTGCTAATGACATATAGCACCTCTTTTCAGCCCCAAAATAATCAGCTATATGTCATCAAATCTGGGAAGTCTTGGAGATACTGTAACATTTTTTGCCTTCCATCATAATGTCTGATGCAAACCTTCAGGAGAACAAATCACACCTTCTCAGTCTTGCATTCTTCACTGACATGAAGTAAAACAATTATATTGAATCAATTACTGGGTCTGCTGCTAAGAAAGTTGGTTTGCCGTGTCATGCTAGATAAATTTTTTTTTTTTTTGCTCAAATCCATCTTACACATTTATAAGATAACCATTCAACCATATATTGGATATTGTTGCCACATCTGATTTGGTGATTTTGCTATATATCTAGAGATTCTTGAAAAAATCCAAAGATGAATCTGTAATGTCAGCAGTCCTGATCTGGCATCTTGATTTCAGTTACTTTCACACCACTGTAATGTAGCTTCCCTGTGCCTTTTCTATAAATATTTTCATGTCAATTGTTCCTCTTTATTTCCTCTACTTCATGAATTTAAGTTCAGTACTAGATTGACAGCTAGGTCTCATCATTTTACAGTTGAAATTCTTAGATATAACCATAAGCTCTATGCTAATAATTTTTCTCCCACTCACACTTCTCACTTGTGGAATTCTTTTATGGCTTCTTGCTTTCCTGTCAACTTCAAAAATTTTAATGAAATCTCACTCATCATTATCTGTCTTTTTAAATCATGCTCTTTTATTGTTTTTTCTTCTCAATAACATTTTCTTAGTTTCTTCTGTGCTCAGTAACCATTTACATATCAGTGTATATCTATCCATGTATATACTAGGGTTCTCCATCACTAACTATTGTATTTGTTGATTGTGGCTGCAAAGAATTTAGACTTGAAACATATATCCCATACATAATCAGTCTGGTAAATGTGAGAACTACTTGGAACATAATTGAGTGTTCTTAGAAACAGTTTCATGTCACTCATGCATGATTAGTTGCCAGAATAAAAGATCAGAGTTGGGAAAAACGTAAGTATAAAGGGAGAATGTGGGCTACAACAAGATCTGTGTATATATCACTCCTGTCCAGAGCGATTTCAGTTTCACTAGTGAAATTCCAACAGAGTACACCCTACACCATTACATAGACACCATCAGCTTGCACATTGGATTCCACAGTGATCTTCAATTAATCCAATTATGTGGGCTTCTCCATCCACAAATTTAACTATCTGGAAACACGACTCATCTGACCAGGCAACATGCCCCAATCTTTTATAGTTTAATAGTAATAGTCAATTGTCTAGTTGAGACACTGTAACTGATGTGTCAATGCTTGTTGGTTGATGACTAAAAAATCTCATAGAATGTTATGTATACTGTACAGTGTATTAACTGATGTTATTTTAATCCAATTTTCTTCTTTATTGAACGATTATGGTCAATCACTAGTGATCCTATTCTTCAATCAACTGCGTGTGTTTGCTTTTTTTATATGTTACTGATGGCTGTCCAGAATTCACATATTCCTGGTATATGGTTCCTTTTAAATTCTATTTCAACTCTATACTTCTAACATCTCTGCTTATAACTGTGAAATTTTATTTACTATTCATTTCACTTTTTTTCTTTTGCAATAGGAGGATTTGCCTCTCATCTATTTCACACTTCTCTTCAGTCTTTTGAAGTCGAGGTTTATCTCTTGTTTTATGTTTAGGGTGGTGATTCTGGTTCATTTTAAATTCTTTTTCCTTCTGTCTCACTTCTGGTGGTTCCTTGTGTCTTGATGGCATTATTTACTTGCTTGGGATGGTACCTCTTATTCTGTAACCCTCTACCTTGAATGGTTCTTTAGCCTTGTACAGGGTGTTAATGTTGCTTAAAAAAAACTAGAAAAGTTGCCAATTTGGAGTGCCCCACATTTGTAGACCTAATCTTTTCAGTGTCAAGGAGAATTGAATAGTGTCCATATTCCATAGCTGACACAGCTACACTACCTCTTTTCATATTATGTCATACATCCAGCTGAGTCCATTTCTGCAAATGAGATAAGGTAAAACTATCCACCGTTGTCTCTAATTTTCTGGCTTTTACTTCCATGTCAATTTGCACATTATTTGCTCTGAAGATAATAATGATCTGTTAATATTGTCTTTTAAATGGAAAACTTTTCCATTTTCTTGAATATAACTGGTTTGAATGAGAGAATATTGAGCATTTGTTAACTGATTCAGTTTGTAAAATAGAAAATTAAAAACAAGCATCATTTGGTGGATCTGCAACAGATCTAAGGAACCTAATTATTAGGAAGATCTTATCCAGATTTTTCTCAGATTACACAATTAATTCATTCCAACATGCCATGGAAGTGAATTTCTCTTATTTACATCAGTTTTTTCCTTTTTTGTTTTGTCAATGGCAACTCTTTTCTTAAATGTGATTCCTTATTTTAGACAAATTTATATAATGTATTGAACAAATTTAAGAGGATAAAATCCAACCTGTGTTTTTGTGATTCTTCTATATCACAAAACCAATTTATGAAATTTTATAATCCCTTCACTGTATTTCCGTAATATCATTTCCTCAAAGAGAAAATATATTTTTCTCACTTTTTCATGTTTTTTAAATAAAATATCAAAATAAAATCTGCATGACTGCATATAATAACAGGAATACCAGAATATTTTTTTACTTTTATTAAAATCTGCTTGTAAATAGGGAAAGACTGATCACATTTGATGAATATGAGGTAAAATAATATGCAGTGAACATAGATTGTTAACTGATAGGGTTGTGAGTTCAAATCCAAAACCAAGATACTTTTAACACTGTATGACAGAAATGAATAAGAAATAATTGATTTTTCCTCCCTACAAATGTTTTATATATTGTATCAATAAAAAAATATAAAACAATCAACTACATATAGCAGAGAGACAGTGGAGTCAGATCTAATTTTAAGCATTTTTATGACTCCTGTATTTAAACTGAATATATCTTATAATATTTGCTTTCTGACCTGGGTCCCAATCTCACCATGGTCAATTTATCAAGAAGGTGACTTCTTGATATTGTCAGTCTGGGGAGGCAATCCCAGTGCGACACCTTTGGAAAGTACCAGAAAACCATGCCATATGTTGTTCAAATCCTTGTGAATAAAATTGGGAAAGTGAATATTCTAATTACTTGGCCACATACCTATATATTTTTTTTAATCTCTCAAATACATAAATACACACATAACTGGAACATTTGGCATTTATTCACATTATATAAACTTGTAAAGTCTCTCTTTCACTATCTCCCTCTCTCTAATATATATATATATATATATATATGCATGTGTATGTGTGTATATAGTGATGTGATAAGTTACCTATTTTAATTTATCTAATATATATATATATATATATATATATATATATATAGTAATGTGATAGGTTATCTATTTTAACATCTAATATATATATATATATATATATATATATATATATAATAAATAAAAAGAAAGAACAGTAAGATATAAAATCCGGTGTTCTTATAGATATTTTATTTTTACAAAATAGTGCTCAATGTAAATTTACAGAACATTAATATTATAAATTAATTGATTTAAAATATGGTTATTTTCGCTACACAGTTCCAACCATGTTTCAAAATAGAAGCTAAAACTCCTAATTTTATTTTTGCAATTAAATTAAAAGCATTAGTTCCATTTCATCTTCAAGCGAATTTAATTGCAAAAATAAAATTAGGAGTTTTTAGCTTCTATTTTTGAAACATGGTTGGAACTGTGTAGCAAAAATAACCATATTTTAAATCAATTAATTTATAATATTATATATATATATATATATATATATATTGGTGTGATAGGTTATCTATTTTAACTTATGAGTTAAATATATATTTTTGATATATGCACTTGTATCTGTGCCTGTCTATATTTCTGAGATGAAGTATTCTAACTATTTACT